ATTTTTGTTTCTTTTGTTTTCCAAGCTCTTAAGAGTCGGCTTCTTTTTGTTCTATTATGCAGTATATTTAGTGTTAACACTGTCCTTCAAAACCATACAAAAAAATCGACTTTGTTCGCATGGACCCACATTAAAACATCCTGAAACCCATCATGTGTCGAGGAAGCGACACGAGACGCTGATGATCCTCTGACTTTTAATCCTGCACCACCACGAGGTTAACATATTTTTTTAGTACTATCTCAAAATTGTAATAACTTTAAAATCAATATGAGTAATGGTTACACAAATGTTTGAGGAGTGACGTCGTTCCCTCAGTTAAACCCATCCATGCTTTTAGTGGCTGGTTGTTTACGATGGGTTTTCATTATCTGATTAAATGTCCAACACTGCAGCACATGTTGACCTCTGACCCCTCTCCTTCCTCTGCAGCTGATCAGCGATGGCAGCGTGGTGTACGCCGAGGCGCTCTGGGATCACGTCACCATGGACGACCAGGAGCTGGGCTTCAAGGCCGGGGACGTCATCGAGGTAGTGGATGCCACGAACAAGGAGTGGTGGTGGGGTCGCATCGTGGACAGCGAGGGCTGGTTCCCTGCCAGCTTCGTACGGGTGAGACAACCTCCATCACTGATCCAATTACCCCTGCAGGCGGCTCTTAATTGCTCTGTTTGATTGATGACTGCTCCTGCTGCAGTAACAGCAGAACATTAACCTTCAACCGGTTATCAATACTCCTGCAGAATTAGAGTTCTGTTTCTTTTAGTGAAGACATTCCTCATGTAAATATAATATGTTATTGCACACGGGGTTCAAAATGCTTGTGCGTATTTGATTTATGTGAAGATATAATGTAAAATGAAAGGCAAGTTTAGCACCTTTCAACACAAGGCAATTCAAAGTGCTTTACAAAAATGAAAGACATTGAGAGCATTAAGAAACATATTTTAAAATGGCATTTCAAAACAGTCATTTAAAAGCAAAGATAATAAAACATGAATAACAAAGGTACATGAATTAAAGTCACAGTGCAGTGTGAGATACACACATCTGAAATGTTTAGTTCTGACTCTCAATCATTGCTCACTTTTTAGCAGACATAGTTTTCTATCACCTCACTTTCTTATCCTTTAGTTATTTCAAGTGTTTCATGCTGAACGAACCCCCCTTTGGAACATTCTAATCTGCAACCCCGATATTCCGAAAATTCAACGGATCCTGGCCGTATTTGTGTAGCATATAAAATGAAGATGCCGAGGTGTTTATTGGGAAAAATTGTCGTTTAATAATTATTTTTCGTGTCCTCCTCAGTTGCGTGTGAACCAGGATGAGCCCATGGAGGAGTATCTGGCCCACTTGGAGGGGGCTCAGGCTGGAGAGGAGAACCGGGCCGGTCTGGGTCTGTTGCTGGGACCTGGTCTACCCTGCAAAGAACAGATGAGGACCAACGTCATCAACGAGATCATGAGCACAGAGAGAGACTACATCAAGCACCTGAAGGACATCTGCGAGGTCTGGATCCATCATGTCAAAACATCATGATTTTTGTTCCTTATTGTTGAAAAACGAATACCTCAACCCCTCATCTGTCCAATATGTTCTGATTTTTTTTCTGTTTCCCTCAGGGTTACATCAAACAGTGCCGCAAGAGGACAGACATGTTCACTGAAGAGCAGCTTCGGACCATCTTTGGCAACATCGAAGATATCTATCGATTCCAGAGGAAGTTCCTGAAAGGCCTGGAGAAGAAATTCAACAAGGAGCAGCCGCACGTCAGTGAGATCGGCTGCTGCTTCCTCGAACACGTAAGCAGATTCAAATAAGTCAATCCACAGTAGTGTATAGTGTATAGCACACTGAAGTAAGGTAAATATTGTTTTCGTAACCCTATCTTGTCATCTTCTGTGTGCAGCAAACGGATTTCCAGATCTACTCAGAGTATTGCAACAACCACCCCAACGCCTGCATGCAGCTCTCTAAGGTCATGAAGGTCAACAAGTACGTGTTCTTCTTCGAGGCCTGCCGACTCCTCCAGAAGATGATCGACATCTCGCTGGACGGCTTCTTGCTCACTCCGGTTCAGAAGATCTGCAAGTACCCTCTGCAGCTGGCTGAGCTGCTCAAATACACCAACCCACAGCACAGGTGAATCAAACCGAGATCAGGAGAACCACCGGTGCATTTGTGGGCTAGGGTTAGCTTTAAAAGATGCTGTTGATATCGATATTTATCTTGTAAATACCTTGGAAATAGTAGTCTGACAAAATCTTATCTTAAGTCAAGGTCCTCACTTGATATAGACAATAAAAAAGGGAAGACACTGTTGAAGTTTTTGGTCTTTTCATGGATTTTTTTCTAACAAAAACAAATATATAGAACATACAGTAATCCTTTAAACTTCATCTTGACTCACCAACTGCATGTCACTCTTTGATCTTTAGGGACTATAAAGATGTGGAGGCGGCCTTAAACGCCATGAAGAACGTGGCGAGGCTCATCAACGAGAGGAAACGGCGCCTGGAGAACATCGACAAGATCGCCCAGTGGCAGAGCGCCATCGAGGACTGGGAGGTGGGGAAAGAGGCCTTTCTGTTTGGAAATAATCTCTCGCTCTGCAACAGAACATGGTAGCAATGTGTGTGTGTGTGTGTGTGTGTGTGTGTGTGTGTGTGTGTGTGTGTGTGTGTGTGTGTGTGTGTGTGTGTGTGTGTGTGTGTGTGTGTGTGTGTGTGTGTGTGTGTGTGTGTGTGTGTGTGTGTGTGTGTGTGTGGTGTGTGTGTGTGTGTGTGTGTGTGTGTGTGTGTGTGTGTGTGTGTGTGGTGTCTGTGTGTGTGTGTGTGTGTGTGTGTGTGTGTGTGATGTGTGTGTGTGTGTGTGTGTGTGTGTGTGTGTGTGTGTGTGTGTGTGTGTGTGTGTGTGTGTGTGTGTGTGTGTGTGTGTGTGTGTGTGTGTGTGTGTGTGTGTGTGTGTGTGTGTGTGTGTGTGTGTGTGTGTGTGTGTGTGTGTGTGTGTGTGTGTGTGTGTGTGTGTGTGTGTGTGTGTGTGTGTGTCCGTCCATGCAGGGAGACGACATCCTCAGCAGGAGCTCTGATCTGCTCTTCTCAGGAGAGTTGAGCAAGCTGTCCCAGCCTCAGGCCAAGAGTCAGCAGAGAATGTTCTTCCTCTTTGATCATCAGATGGTGTACTGCAAAAAGGTGACTCGGCACTTTACACCACGTTACGCTGATGATAGGGGTAGAAACACATGAAGCACATTTCTCATCAGTCACTCAGCCTTCTAAAGCCTAGCTGAACTCTCCTTATCGTTGCAGGACCTGCTGAGGAGAGACATGCTGTACTACAAGGGTCGGATGGACATGGACCACATGGAGGTGATAGACGTGGAGGACGGGAAGGAGAAGGACTTCAACATCAGCGTGAAGAACGCCCTGAAGCTGCGGTCGCTGGCTGGAGACGAGGTCCACCTGCTGTGTGCCAAGAAGCCGGAGCAGAAGCAGCGCTGGCTCCGAGCCTTCGCCGACGAGAGGACTCAGGTCCAGCATGACCAAGAGACAGGTCGGAGATGAATGAAAACATCTGAAATCATTATGTTAACTGTCATTATCTCCACACTTCCTTCTCTGCTCTCTCTTCAAATGTGATTCATATCCTCCTTTCTTCTTCTCAACAACATCCACATTAATACTTTAAACTCCGCTCTGTGTGGTGCCTCAGGAAATGTAAGACTGCCAGCAGTAAATGGATTTCTAAGATGCTGATCCAGAGAATAAAAAGAATAATGTCAGCTATGCTCGCTCCGTCTGTATTATACATCTGCTTCACTGTGACGTTATGAATAATGCGGAATTAGTGTTTTGACTGTTATGCACATTTTCCATCCATTTAATTCTAAGAGGAGGAGATCTGTTCGATTCACTTTTTATGAACTAAATTAGGACTCATCAGAAATGCTTCTCACGTCTGGTTAAAGAACAGAGGAACATGTGTGATTTGTGAAACTGGGCTCTATGAATGAATTGACTTCATAGTGGTACTATTTCTGTTTTTCAGGCTTCTCTCTCACGGAGGTCCAGAAGAAGCAGGCCATGCTTAATGCCTGTAAAAGCCATCCAGCTGGGAAACCCAAAGGTATGCACCCAAGCGTTCAGAGACAGATTGCTCTAGTAGCAGCACATCAAGTCACCTGAGTGTGCTAACTCAGTGTGGGGGTTTCTATCACTGCAGACTGTATATCTTGTTGTTCATAAGTTTTATTTCCTTTTTCAGGGGATAGATCAGGTCATCCTAAGTCTCAGTGCAATATCAGTCTTAAGATGTCTTTCTTCTCCCTGAGCTTGGACAGGGGTCTCCTCACTATAAATAATATATAAGCAGTGATCTATGATGCATGCAGCAGCACTTTGTATTGGAATTGTATGTCACCAGGACCTTTTATTCTTCAAGCATCCCAGAATCACAGTAAAGGTTTTACTAGGACTAAAAATACTTTTTCAGCAGAGTTATTGATGAAGAGTCCTACTGTGCGCTCACTCTAACAAAAGACAGACTCTGACAAAAAATGTCCCAATCGCTGTTTTTCGATTGACACTGTTAAGAAAAGTTCACGCAGAGACACATTTCAGTACTTAACAAAATAAAATGTTGGCGTTTATTTTTATTTTGTGGCGTTAGCTTAACTGTGCTAACACATGCAAAAAAAAAGGGCAATTGGCAATAATTCAGATTGATTGATAGATGGATTGATAGATAGATAGATAGACAGGCAGACAGACAGACAGGCAGACAGACAGACAGGCAGGCAGACAGGCAGGCAGACAGACAGACAGACAGGCAGGCAGACAGACAGACAGACAGGCAGGCAGACAGGCAGGCAGACAGGCAGGCAGACAGATAGACAGGCAGGCAGGCAGACAGGCAGACAGACAGATAGACAGACAGACAGGCAGACAGGCAGACAGACAGACAGATAGACAGACAGACAGGCAGGCAGACAGACAGACAGACAGACAGACAGGCAGGCAGACAGGCAGGCAGACAGATAGACAGACAGACAGGCAGACAGACAGACAGGCAGGCAGACAGACAGACAGACAGACAGACAGGCAGACAGACAGACAGGCAGACAGACAGGCAGACAGACAGACAGATAGACAGACAGGCAGACAGGCAGACAGACAGGCAGACAGGCAGACAGGCAGACAGACAGACAGACAGACAGACAGACAGACAGACAGGCAGACAGACAGGCAGACAGACAGACAGATAGACAGACAGGCAGACAGGCAGACAGACAGGCAGACAGGCAGACAGGCAGACAGACAGACAGACAGACAGACAGACAGACAGACAGGCAGACAGGCAGACAGACAGACAGACAGGCAGACAGATGATGAATGTTTGCTTCCTGTCACTGTGTACGACCTCTCTTTAGTATTCTGTATGTGATGATCCTTTCTCTCCATGTCCTCCCCAGCAGTGACCAGGCCGTACTACGACTTCCTGCTGAGACAGAAGCACCCCTCCCTCCCCACGGCCGTGCCCCAGCAGCAGGTGTTCATGCTGGCCGAGCCCAAGCGCAAAACCTCCACCTTCTGGCACAACATCGGCAGACTGACACCCTTCAAGAAGTAACGGAGGAAAGAAATCAGAAAGGAAGAAGTATGGGATGAAGGAACAGAGGAGGAGGAGGGCTCCCTGCTCGTGCCTGATAGACCCTTTTTATTCTCTCTTTTCTTTCCTACTCGTTGCCCTAATACTGATCCATTGTATAGATGAGGATGATTATGATGAAGAGGAGATTATTTTTCGAAAGCACTTTAAAGGTTGGTCAACAATCAGACTTGAGAATGGTCTCCCGGAGACACGGAGAGAGGACTCTTGCTTAACTTGCTACTACTACTACTACTACTACTACTACTACTACACCTTCAATCCGGCGCAGATTGGTACTAATACTACTACTGTACTGCTGTGAGCGAGCGTGGGACTCCTGATTGTGCTGCCTCTGTGAAGACGTTGGCCATCGTCAAAATTGTGTCATTTCTTTCCACTGTTGTGTTGTTTTATGATTTCACAGATGCCAAGTGTTCACAGTGCCAGACGATTTGTTTTTATATTTGTTTGTTCCGTGTCTGTTTATGAAAAAAAAGGGAAGAGAGGAGGTAGTTTCCTGTGCTTTTTCTCCGTGCAAATATATCATTTCAGCTCGGTTTTCTAAAGTGTTTTGTGATCTCCATCTGCCGGGCTCTGTATGTCTCTGGTGCGAACACTTCACGAAATGCAGGAAGATTAAGAGCGACCCACAACTAGCGGCGACATGCACACATTCCTCGAGTCTGTTCCTCGACTCCTCCTTATACCTACCATGTCAATGAAAGTAAATAGCCTGTTACTTTTTCGTTTTTTTTTTTAAAGTGCCATTTGAAGTGTGTCATGGATGACTTACAATGACATGCATGGATGTGATGAAAAAATACTGTGAAGAATATTTTTTTATCTCTGAAGAACCCTGCTATATTTAACCAGATCCAAGAAACTGGGATTTCATTGTGCTACCAGGCTGACGACACACACACACACACACACACACACACACACACACACACACACACACACACACACACACACTCTCTGACGTTCCTTTATCTACCTTTCCTCCTGATAGCCAGTCATCCTGCTCCGTGTTTCTGGTCCTCCAGTATAATCTAATTTCACATCAATGCAGCCCAGTGATTTCCCTCTGTAAGTGCATTCAGTGAAATGTGCTCCTTTCACCTTTTATGTTCAAATGTTTTTGCTTCTGACGATATGGAATATTAAACATTCCTAAGCTGATAAATGTGTCTGTCGGTTGAGATCATTATTAATATATTTCACACCACACAGCACTCACACATCATGGGTGGGCACGTCACGATGCTATGGGGTTTAACCTCCAGCTGCGTGTGATATTTAAATCAGGTTTAAACGAACACTCAAGTTCAAGCTTCTCATCTACAAAACCTATGTTATTTATATTTCTCTTAGCATTTTTTATAAGCATGAATTCTTTATTTAAAGGTGGGGTAGGTAATTTTGGAGAAACCAGCTCGAGTGCGCTCGAATTTGAAAATACACAGCCGGAATAAATCTGCCACTTCCTTACAGAGCCCCTCCTCCAACACACAGATGGAAGGCTGACAGGCAGGTAGGCCATCCAGTTACTTTAGCCGGCCCGGCTCATATGATTGGTCGTGCTTTTTACAGTACTACGGCTTCCACAGATTTTATGGATTTTTAGTCAAAGCACTTAAGATATTCATTGCTATCGGGATGTTAAGAGCATTCCATGGAATATAACCAAAAGTGTATCTCGAGCCGGTTTCTCAAACTTACCTACCCCACCTTTAAGGGTAATTCTGGAAGATCAAACCACATTATGTGAGAGGATGGACAATAGTTATAAATAGCTGCCTCAGTTTTATGAATTGTGATCTTGTAATACAACTTTTTTTTTAAAATAACTATTAGGCTCCCCACAAATGCTATTCTTCCAATCCTTTTGTTTGTGCTTTTAAGTGTATCTAAATGATTATGTGTGCAAGCAGTAGAGTTCATGCATTGGTTACTGCAAATATACTGGTTAGGTTTGTATGCAGATTAGAGGCGGTGAAGTGGGAAGTAGATTGCTCATAGGCCATCTCTCCATATATCACAATTTAGATTATTTTTGCTCTTTAATAAAAAAAATAGGAAATTGGATTTTCACTGCAAGAAATGTTTAGCATAACATTAAAGCATTGATATCCTGTTTTGCTGTCAGTTACAAGAGGCACGTTTGATTTATTGTCAAAAGGAAAGAAAATCTAAACAAAGCATCATTTCATTAACCCCGCAGACTCTGTAAGTGGAACTGAAACACAGTGTGACATCTCTGTCGGCTGAGGTGAGGAACCGCAGGAGAACAGGAGCTTCAAACACACGCAGAAGTAGGCCAGTGGGATGAAGCCTGACAACTCTTTGATACGAGTTACATCTGAAGCGTATCCGCTTTCAGCTCCTGATGGTGAGCCAGTAATGGACCGTAGACATGGAAAACAATACTCAATATTTATTTTAATTCTTCATAATGGCTATATATCCAGTTAAAACAATGTGTAGATGGCATCTGCCGAACGGAAACAAGAATAAAAGCTGCTTTGCAGGTTTCAGTCAGAATAACTAGAGCACTGGGGTTTCTCACATAAGTGTAACACTTATCCAGACACCAAAAATCTAACGCTCAACTTGAAAGACTTCTTCAAAAGAAGGGAAAAGTCAGAGTAAATCTGCAAAAAATTATAAATATACAACTATAACTTCATTTTAATATTTTAGGTTAAATAAAGACAGGGAAAAATTATCGTCATGTAAAAATACAATATCATGAATAAGCATGTGTCGTACACAGATTTTTTTTTGAAGAGCTACATTAAATATAAAGATGCCTGCCTGTCTGTAATATATAAATTAGTCTCATATGCAAACATATTACAAATGGGATTGGAGTTTATAGAGATACACTATTAATTAAGTGTAATGGAATTTTTCCCCAATGCAGTTTTGCACTTAAATGTTGGCCTCTTCCATGCATAGTCATTTACTTTTGCCCTCTGCGCATCTGGGCATATTGAGCAGCGTACGACTGTCTGCCTTTGTGCTGTTCTTCCTCTGATTCAGAAATCTCTTCATCATCATCATCATCATCATCATCTTCTTCTTCGTCATCCTCTTCTTCCTCCTCCAGCTCTTCCTCCTCCATGCCTCCCTGGCGTTGTAAGGTGCTGCGAGACTGCAAAATAGACAACAATTATGGACAGCAATTCTAAATGAAATAGGGATTAAATCATGGCTTATCTCACCCTCCTGACGGTGTCTGGGAGCTGGCTGTGTTGTCTGTGGTGTTGGCCCGTGGTGGAGGCCAGCGTTGACCTGAAGGTTTGACCTTTGGGGGAGGCCAGAGGGGGAGTGAGGTAGAGGCCGGTGAGGGGAGGAGAGGAGCTCAGAGGAGAGAGGCGTCCAGCCAGGGAGTCGGACATCTTGATCCGTCCATTGAACAGCTTTGGAGACATAAACACAGCATCAAGTTTGACCCAAGATCCAGGACAGAGGATGTAAGATAGGCCTTATCACCCGGTGGTAAAGCTTGAAACGGCACTGAGTATAAACTCTAATACTCCAGTCTGTCTTACAAGTTGATAGCAGGCATTTAGTTTGCTAAGTCATCTTGACTAGTGCTATTATCTTAAGTTACCTCCAGATCCTTTTGGATGTTCATCTCCTCCAGGTTGTGGCATGTGTGTGCATAGACCTCCAGCGCTTTGGCATGGAACAGCATCTCCACTGTGATGAAGTCTGTGAAAATCCTCTGCAGACACACAGAGCAGGGGTCGTTGTCAGTGAGGCATGGACGCGGTAGGATGTGTGTGTTCTGTGAGTGTGAGGCGTACTTTGATATCCTCCAGTTTCTGCCTCTGGAAGTCTGTGATGCTCTCCTCCAGCTGTCTGATGCTGCGATGGGCATTGTTCGACGCCTTCTGAGCATTTACTTCTGCCTGTCAATTTAACCACACAAAACAGTATAAACAGCTTCACCTCACAGTCAGTATGAACTACTAAAGGGTCAGTAATGTGAAGATAGTCATGAGATAATGATAAAACCATGTACGTTACCTGAGACTGAAAGGGATTGTCAAGAAAATATTACAAGTGGAGGTGAATCATTTGAAATCTTTCTTGAAAACTCAGTCAGACACATAGCATTTTGTGGACACTGTGACGCTGTCAGATGTGTGAAGGATACGATGCTCTGTCGATCCGCCGGGTTCTTCAGTCGGAGTTTCTCCAGTTTCTGCATCTCCTTCAGCTCTCTGTTCAGATCCGTGCTGAACTTCTTCAGATCTGCCTGAATAGACACACTGTCAGCTCACACAAAACGGTCTTGATATTGTGTGTAGATGTGTTTCACTGTACTCACAAGACAAGACAAAAGACAGCAGTAGTTGTTTACATAACATGATGCAAGTATTCTTATCTGAGAATATAAACCTTGAATTGTATTCGAGGACTAGAACATTATGCATTTTGTAAATCATATTCCAATTGAAAAGAGAGACTACCCAGGGTTTTGCGGTATGTTTTTTAAATTTGTTCCCTACCTGTTATTAGGTAATAAAAACTATGCATAACTCAGAACACTGATTCCCAGAAGCAAAGCTTATTGGAAAGAGGGAATTAAATTCAGTCTGTCATTAGTTTAATTACAGAAATATCTACATTGGAAGCACATATATGTTACCAAACTCACCCTTTTATTCTTAACTACTTCTCCATAGGCTTTTAGAGGAGCGACAACTCTTGTCTCCAGTCTCTCAACCTGCAACAATAAAGCGTTCATCGTTACATCCACTAATTCCTTTTTTTGCAGAAGATATAGAGCACATAATATAACCCCAGCGTCTCCTACCTGAGCCTGCCTGTAGTCCTGCACCATGGCCAGGTCCTCGGCCAGGTTCTTCAGGCCGCTCTGCAGCTCGGGGTCCTCTCTGCTGGAGAATTCAAAGAGCTGAGCCACCAGCAGGTCGGCCTTGTCTCTGAGTCTGGCCGTCTTCCTGGTGTAGGAGGCCAGCAGCGAGCAGATCTCCCCCAGGTACTTCTCTGCATCCTTCACCGCCTGCTCCATGCTCTTCACCTGGACATCCCTGCCAGTAGGATATCTATTATCGTAAAATATGGGGAATAAACTAGCTATTAGTTCTTGTCTCTGTGGATAATGTGAAGGATAACAGAACTGACTCCTACCTGGAGAAGAGGGTGGTCATATCTGCTCTGTTCCTGCAGCTGCTGTGCTTTGTTGACTCGGCTGATTCTCACCTTTACCAGGTAACAGAAGACAGTTGCCATGGAAACACTTACAACAGATGGTGTGCAACAGCTGAAGTGAGGGTGTAATTGCTGCTTTTCGCCACACGAAAGCAGCAGAGCATTATTATCGCCATTTTACAGGGAGGAAGAACTGAGGAAGAGTCTTTCTGTCTCTTCTATTAGGGATTAAGTTAGACGTTTTTTACACCCTTTCAGTTCAGTTCTCTACGCAAGAATTGACATGAAACACAGGGTTTTACAACTTGTACAGCTGCCTGCAACAGAGCTTTTTTGTTTACCTCACTATTACCACTAGGGGGAACCATATATATATATATATATATATATATATCTATGGGGGGAACCATATATTACCCTCAGAAGACGTGATGTGGCGGGAGAACCTTACTAATTTAATGTACACCACACAGTCACACATGCATATAAATTACACCTAGTTTAATGTACACACATTATGTCAAATGTCACTTACTAGACACATTTAGAAGGTTTTACAAATGTTGTCTATCACTCCAAGTATCAGGAAGGTGAGGGAAATGTATGTAGAACTCACATGTATGATTTTCTTCTATTGACAGCTAAGGCAGCAGAAGCCCCGCCCTCTGAGGCCCAAAGCAACTTAGTGCATTCCCCATGGTGCATTCAGTCTGAAGACAGAAGACATCCAGCTCAGCTGAGGAAAGGTAAGCTCAACCTCTTACAAGTAGATGATTTAAATGACAGAAATGTCACATGAGTTGGAAAGTCTTTCAGGGTAAATGTTCTTTTTTTAGACTTATCCTATTATAAATGTGACTTCTACAGAAGACAACTTCACACTGGTAACATTTATCTGATGAGTTCCCTCCAGGTCATTACAGCTGGGAATGAGGATAGTACAAATAAATATTAACTAATAGGAATAAGACATTTTACTCTTAAATATTATTTTTCAACATTAATGCTTCATAAGTTTCACTTTAAATGCCCTTCATTTTTTCTAAGAGCTAATTTTGGTGTTAATATTATTTGGTCCACTTTATAGCGTCCCACCTCTGATCTATTAGTTTAAGATTCCAGTTTTTTCCTGTACAGAAACCATACTTTTGGTTTGAGTGACTTCACTGTGACCTGGCGGTTTGTTATCTCAGAGGCTGAGGACTGTCCGATCTGTGGCTCACTGATAATGTTGTGCAGCTGATGACAGTGTGTCAGCCTCTGTCCATCTACTGACTGTACACACATTATGTCAAACAATGAGTCAGCGGCACGTTGGTGTTCCTTCTGACTTCCCATTTATCCCTGGAATATTCCACTTGTAATCTCTTTCCTTTTGCAATGTTATGAAATGATTGCTAAGACATACCTGTAACCCTACATTTCTTTAGGCCCCAGCAATGTGGCGTTCATGCTTTCTCGTGGCAGTGCTGACTGGGAGTGTATTCCCAGTGTCAGGGTTCAGTAATGGGAAGGTGACTGTTGCCTGTGGAGACATGATGCCTCGGCATGGGGATGGCCCTAGCCCTGCCCCCCCTCCATTCAGCATCACTGTGGATACAGCCTCATTCACCCCTGGTGACAACATCACAGGTAGACTGCAACACCTGAGCTTTACAGTGAACGCATCATCTCTCCTGTTAGCTGATATATGTCCTTCCTCCTATTCTCCACCACAGTGACTTTACAAGAGGCCTCTTCCGCCCCCACGTACTTCAAGGGGTTTCTGATAGAAGCTCGGAATGCTGGGAAACCGAACTCCCCCGCTGTGGGTTCCTTCCTCCTGACTGACCCACAGGAGTCCCAGCTGCTGCAGTGTGGACAAACTCAGGTATTCAGGAGCTACTAACCTGTGGTATAGGAGCAATGTGCAACAAATAACATTTCTAAATACAATTTTCTTCCCTAATTTCAAATTGCTACAAGTAGTGGGTCAGTCGAGGTCTACATGATTTTGCAGTTGGGCTTTTTCAATCTTTATTCCGGGCATATGGAAGAGGAATATGTTTGTAGGATAACAATAGGTGACCCTAGAAAACATTTAACTTCTCCAAAAGTGCACAAGGCCTTATTGAATGTTGAATTGAATGATCCTTGATATTTCTCACCCTTAAAATTATTGTACAGGTTGAGGAAAAGTATTTGTTGTCCTGTAATGCGACATGATGCTGGCCCAAACTCGTGGAGAAATCTTTGCTAAAGCTCTCTCTAAAGCAGGGGTGTCAAACTCAAATACACAGTGGGCCAAAATAAAAAAATCGGTAGTAGTCGAGGGCCGGACTGGTTCAATGTTTATTGCAGAACTTATTGAAATGAACTTATTGCATATATTAAACCTGGAACTAACAAAGCTTAAATGATTGCCTATAAAAACAACTTTAAACATTAAATAATCAGTTGCATTCATTTCTTATGGCTCTATCTGCAGCTTTTCAGGAGTAATTTCTTATGATTACATTTTTCCACAGGCCAACAACAGCTTCAAGAAAACTATTTCCCTCAAAGAGAAAACCAAACATGTCCTGTTGTCTCAAGAAACAAAGTGCAGAAGGAAACATCCATTAAACTCAGTGTGCTGCTCTGTGATACTAGCTCAGATACTTGGCATCTCGTCTTGGGTGCAAGTTCATCAATGTTTGGGCTCAGGCTCTGAGCGGAGGAGACCCTCAGGATGGAGTGAAGGTGTGCGTGCAATATACCGGCGGCCAGATCTAATAGGAATTACAAATTATCCTGCGGGCCGAAATTAAATCCACCACGGGCCTGATTTGGCCCCCGGGCCTTGAGTTTGACACATGTGCTCTAAAGAGAAATGCTGCTGGTATTACCCTTAATTATTACTTACTGTACTGGATGACAGCATGAGCTAAAGCAGCAGTTACCGAGTTGCTAGTCTGAGCATCACCTCAGGATTAAAACCACATGTTTAATGATGTTGTTCTTTGAGTGTGTGACTCTGAATCCCTGTCATTTGAAGGGATCTGGGGTGAGCCACAGGAGAGACTCAAGAAAGACTCGCATTCAGGCCGTGTGGGAACCTCCAAACAACCCTCCACAGAGAGTCCAGTTTCTGTGAGTGTGCACTACTCTTCAGTTCAAAACTATTGAGCAAATGATTGCAATGGAAATGCTGACAGAGACACTGTTATCAGACAATCTGTAACTCAATAAAAGGGTTTATAATTCTAAACAGGTGTTTGAAGATAAAGTTCACAGTTTATTGCTTATTGCTTTTCGACCATTTACAAATACTGAATAGGTTAGAGTTAATAGGTTAGGGTTAGAGTCACTATTTTATAGGAAACACACCATTAAAATACAAAAAAATATATTAATTCAATAGTCATGGCAAAGTATGAGAACAACATCAATTCTAAAAACAACAATGCAATTAATATGTTAAAAAATAAAGGAAATATGTTTTTAAAAGTGTATTAGATAGAAATGATTATGGAGTTATAAGCCCAAACGAGTGTTTTCTTCTCTCTTAACATGATACTATTACTAATACTTTTTGTTGGGGTGTTTTTGGTGTGTCGTTGCAGTGCGACGGTGCTGCGTGAGTATAAGGTGTTCTGGGTGAGGATGGAAGGTCCTGTGGTGTCTCTTCATGGAGCGACTGCTGCTCCATCCACTCCATCCACTCCTGCTCCTCCTCCAACCAGCAGCCCCTCCCCTCTGTCTGAGCCGGTCAGTCATCATCACAAACACAATGATAATACCAGAGGTTTAAAACCATAGACTGTATATCAGGGTTGCCAACTTTGGGTACCTGGCTGGAGTGAGATTTTGATATCATGGGTTTAATTACACATCTGCACACGAAATGACTGCTATCGTGTCAGTAGCGGGACCTTAGCATATAGGATATACAAATACACAATATTGGACACAGACTACAAAGGGGCAAAGGGCACACAGTTTCATTCACTAATGAAAGTCAAACACATCTTTGTTTCCACTGTTTTATTGTGTGCCTGTCGCGATAAGCAATTAATTGACTTATCGGCTCCGGAGTGTTTTTGTTGGGTAATCTATGGTAGGGCTAACCCATACAGTGGTGGGACTCAAGTCAGTATTTGCAATGTAATTACATACATGCTCTATCGCCCCCTTGACAGTGAAACGCCACGCGTGAGGTTTACATTATTTCCCTGTCTCAATCCAAATGGAACTGTATGAAATAAAAAGGCACATTTGTCTTGTAGTAAATAAAAAGAGTACTTCTATAAGAATAAAACACGGAGGACGGAGATCTCTTTTTCTCCCCCTCTTCTGACAGCCCAGCAGCTGATCTAAAGCATGCTCCCCTCTCCTGCAGGGGGGCGTGGTCAGCTGCAGCTCACAGAATCAGCCCCCTGCAAAAACAGCGCTGGAAAGAGGAAATAGAGCGAAATGAGGCATGGCTAAAATGCAGGATCTATTTGGTATTTTGAAAAAAAAACTATATTTATATAGCTTATATAGGTCGATACAGTAGCCCCTTTTTAAAAATAGTTTTTATAGGTGTAGCTATCTGTTTTGTGTAGCGTGGTTCTACAAGCAAGTCAATGCATTCATTGGGTGGTATCAGAGAGTTACACGGGTCTGTAAATGCAATGAAAACAATTGGCCACAGCAAATCATTTATATTAATCTTGTAATTTTTAATTTAGAATACTTAAGTACAAAGGATGTATTGAATAATTTAAGTGATATATGTGTACACATATAAATCATTAGTCAAAATAGGGCTACATTTGATTGAATTAAAAGGTATAATATGTGGTAAACTGAAGAGCTGATTGGGAGCCGAAAGAGCTGATTGGGAGCCGAAAGAGCCGGCTCTTCTTGGTGAGCCGAGCCAAATGATCCGGCTCACCAAGAAGAGCCGGAATTCCCATCACAGCAAAAGTATTCTCCGTCGGGACTTCCTGCAACAACACCACGCCGTTATCTTGATTCTGATTGGCCAGAAGACATTATCAAAGATGTTCTATTGAGAAGATGATCACTGCGTGACAACAGTTTTTAAAACCGTTTCTAGTCTTCGGTATTCTTGTTTTGGCGTGAGAATAGTTTGGGCAGCGTGAGAGCGTGAGATTGAGAGTGAAAGCGTGTGTCACACGCCAGATGCGTGAGAGTTGGCAACCCTGATATAGTATATATAAATGGACGTAGTGTCCGTGACGTCACCCATAGGATTCTGCAGAGTTGCCGAGAAGCCCTTAGTAGGCGGAGTCGGCCACTAACGGCTCGACTGTGACGTCAGAGTCTAATCCCGCCTGCTCCAAATAAGGGCAAAGAGGCGGAGCCGAGGCGGGACCTGCTGCCTCCGAACTAGAAGTAAACAGAGCTAGCTCAGGCTAAGAAGCTAAGCTAACATGAAATATGCATACCAAGTTACTGCTAACAGTGTAGTTCCCCTATATAAACGTTACATTCATAATCAAATGAGACAATCTGCAAGATAATTAGTTATATTTTGTTATTCTTAATGCTTGTCATTCACACGTTGAGAAAAGACGGACTCCACCTCCCGGACCTAATGGAGTGGGCTAGCTCCGGGACGCAGTGGGCTAGCTCCGGGACGCCGGCTGGGGCTAGCCCCCTGCGGCTCCGTTAGCTCCGGCGGCCACCACTGGGATAATTGGGTCCCCTATTAACATTTGCTCCCGTTTAGCATTATGGGCGTCATAGCCATAGACTATAAAAGTCTTACCCAAGGCTGAATCATAAACTAAAATGTATATGTATGTATAAAGGGTTACGTCCTTAGCTGGCTAATAAGTAGCAAGCTAAGCTACCAAGCACACAAACACCTGCGAATGGGGTTAACATGTATAATATTATAATTTTAGACTTCTTGGAAGTTCTGTTAGTACATTCAAGCGCACAGCACAACATTTTAATTGTCTGGTATTTGTAACAATATTCCCTAAAAGGCACAATCACCACGAACACGGCTAAAGGGTCAAGTACAGTAATTACATTACATTGCATTTAGCTGACGCTTTTATTCAATGCGACTTACAATAAGTACATTCGACCAGGAAGACACAACCTTGAAGAAAACAGAATCATAAAGTACATCAGGTTTCATAGAGCCAAACATTTCAAGTGCTACTCAACTGGCTTTAGATAACCCAGTCCTTTATTAGTATATAAGTGCTTTGTTAATAATTCTATCGCTCGAAGTGGAGTCGAAAGAGATGAGTTTTCAGTCTGCGCCGGAAGATGTGCAAGCTATCTGCTGTCCTGATGTCAATGGGGAGCTCATTCCACCATCTTGGAGCCAGGATAGCAAACCCACGTGTTTTTGCTGATGGGAACTTGGGTCCCCCTCGCAGCGAGGGTGCAGCGAGTCGTTTGGCTGATGCAGAGCGTAGTGCACGCGCTGGGGTGTACAGTTTAACCATGTCCTGGATGTACGAAGGGCCAGATCCATTCGCAGCATGGTAAGCAAGTACCAGTGTCTTGAAGTGGATTCTAGCAGTTACCGGAAGCCAGTGAAGGGAGCGGAGGAGCGGAGTGGTGTGGGAAAATTTAGGAAGGTTGAAGACCAGACGAGCCGCTGCATTCTGGGTGAGCTGCAGAGGTCGGATGGCACATGCAGGTAGACCAGTCAGGAGGGAGTTGCAGTAGTCTAGGCGTGAGATGACGAGAGCCTGGACCAGAACCTGCGTCGCTTTCTGTGTCAGCTGGGGACGTATCTTCCTGATGTTGTAAAGCGTGTATCTGCAGCAACGGGTTGTAGCAGCGATGTTTGCAGTGAAGGACAGGTTGTTATCTAGGGTCACACCCAGATTCCTTGCAGTCTGAGTCGGGGAAACAACAGAGGTGCCGATGTTGATTGTTAGGTCAAGAGTGGGACAATCTTTTCCCGGAAGGAAAAGCAGCTCAATCTTGTTAAGGTTGAGCTTGAGGTGATGAGCAGACATCCACTGAGAGATGTCAGCTAGACAAGCAGAGATGCGTGCGACGACCTGGGTCTCTGAGCGGGGAAGGGACAGAATTAATTGGGTGTCGTCAGCGTAGCAGTGGTATGAAAAACCATGCGGCTAATGACTGATCCGAGCGAGTTTGTGTACAGGGAGAAGAGGAGGGGACCAAGAACAGAGCCCTGAGGGACCCCTGTAGTTAATTGACAAGGGTCGGACTCAGACCCTCTCCAAGTCACCCTGTAGGTACGGTCTTTGAGGTATGAGGTGAGGAGGGAAAGTGCAGAGCCTGAAACTCCAAGTTTTTGGAGAGTGCGAAGGAGGATCTGATGATTCACCGTGTCGAATGCAGCAGACAGGTCCAACAGGATGATGACAGAGGAGAGGGATGCTGTTTTGGCAGTGTGCAGTTCCTCAGTGACAGCAATGAGAGCAGTTTCTGTAGAGTGACCTGCCTTGAAACCAGACTGGTGCAGATCCAGAAGGTTGTTCTGATGGAGATAACAGGAGAGTTGTTTAAAGACAGCGCGTTCAAGTGTTTTAGACAGGAACGGGAGTAGAGAGACAGGCCTGTAGTTTATAACATCAGACGGGTTGAGAGTGGGTTTCTTTAGGAGAGGGTTTACTCTTGCCTCCTTGAGACTGTTTGGAAAGTGACCAGAAGTTAGAGAAGTGTTGATGAAATGGGAGAGAAACGGTAGAATATCAGGAGCGATAGTCTGAAGGAGGTTTGAAGGGATGGGGTCCAGAGGACAGGTGGTAGAGGTAATGAGGGTAAGAACCTCACTTGGAGAGAGAGGGGAAAAGGAGGTTAGTGTGTGGGTGGAAGGAGGGTCTGGTGACCCAGTGGTGAGTAAAGGTGAGTCAGAAAGTAACTACAACTAACTAACGTTGTTGCCTCTATGGTTGTAGCCTAGCAGAGTGGACAAGTTGCTGTTAGCTGACAGTGAGGCATGTACATGTCCATCAAAGTGACCACGCCCTAATTTATGCAAAAGCTTTAAGGCTTAATATTAATTAAACAGATGAGTTGAGAAAAAATTCACCCCCCACACAGTAGTCATGAAGGGGGAATCTAACTATACAGAGAATATGGTTTTTTGAACCACGATGTAAACATGTTTATTTCTGCTGTAAAGTTGGGCATTTTAACATGGGGGTCTATGGAAATTGCTCCCTTCTGCAGCCTGCTCCTACTGGCCACTAGATGAACTGCAGTGTGTGGCACTTCCGTATTGGCGTCCCGGCTCTTCCCCGGAGTTTGCCGCTTGTTTAAAATGTTATTTGTTCCAGTTTTTCAGTAATGATTACTCTAACTACACTACCATTTTGTTACCATCCTACGTTAATGGTCACCTATTATATAAAATCCACTTCTTCATGTCTCTTCTACATCAACATGTGTCCCTTCTGTGTAAAGAGATTCTGAAAGTTTCAGGAACAAAGATTCTCTCTCTTTTTGTCCTGATCCATTTATATAAAAACCTGTCTGAAAATGAGATGATCAGATTTTGGCCACTTTGTGATGTCATAACGATTTTTTGGCTTGTGTAACCATTAGCCAATCACCAACCAAGGTAACCCCCCCCCCACCTTATCACCTGAATCTCCCCCTAGAGCACCATTGTGTTCTTTGTAACCAAATCTCTCTCAGAGGGGCGTGGGGAGGGGCTCCTTATTTTCATCTAAAGTAACAGACAGAGAATCAGCACTTTGTGAAACAGGGCTGAAACAGAGGGGATTATGGGATGCTGCAAAGATCTGTTTGGTGTTTGGAGCCAAACACTTCAGTGACATGTTAGCAGGGTTCGAGTTATAAACTGAGCTCTATGGGGGTCTTTAAAACTAACACATGCGCACGCAGGCACGCACACACTCAAACATTATACACCCAGCCAGGCCACTACCAGTTTTTTTTTTGTGCCATTTTGCTGGATTTATTTGTCAATATTTACAGTGTTGCTGCCCGTAGTGATAGCCCTATAGTTTAAATCTACTACCCCAAAATAAACATATTGACATGGGTTACTATTTAAAATGATTCATGTGAACATATTTTAAGTGGGGGTGGACCACAAATCCTCTAGGGGTGTCCGGGGGCATGCTCCCCCGGTAAGATATATATTTTTATTTTGGAGTTAAATGCATCAATCTGGTGCACTTTGAGGGGGAAATAAAGAGACTAGATCTATGGAAACATAACTGTATACATTTAAATAGTCATAAAATCATAAGAACATGGCCATAACCAATAACATACCATATCCAATATAACCAGCAAAGACTTTAAAAGTGTATCTTTCCTTTTTCACCTAGTTAACATTTTCTTTCTTTTTATTCATGCTTATTTTACTAATCACGCCCCCCTCAAATGTAAATATGTGTATTTACATAAAAGGTGACCAAACCGTTTTAGACCCACTGAGAGATAACTGACTAAGTTAACTAGCCTATCCAAACACCCAGAGAGTCTGTGAGTCTGACCGTTGAGCGGCCCAGACCAAGCAAGGAGGCAGAGGCAGAACGTCCAAAAATATAAACCGACGTGGGCATTTATTAAAATCATATGCACAAAGTTCACAGCCTCAATCCTGCTGTTCTCCTTGCACACATCCTGCAGCCACAAGGATCTCACACACACCCAGTTACAAGGAAACAGCACCTAAATACACACATACTAACAAGACACAGGTGAGGGGGGAGGAGACAACACAGGACACCAGGTGCACACAATCATCAGCCACAGACATCAACATATTATTTGCACCCTGATTACTCTCAACCGCTGTCATCCTTACACCAGCATAACTACTCTCGGCGCTCTCGCAAACTCCCCTATATTTTCAGGCGGAGCCGAGGACCCGACCAGCACCTGCCAGACGACATTCCAATAAATACGGTTTAATCAGTTAAAAAATACTACCTCAATAATTAGTATAAATTATGTGCAAATATGTAATGTCAACTGTACTGTGCAATCACGCTAATAAAGTGCAATATTACCCGGCCTGAAGCCGTCAGTCCATAGTGACAAAGTTACCTTCGTCACATTTCCTTCCCCCTCTCCTCAGGAAGCACAGTGTCTTTACAGTCTCGGCTTCGGGACAACCAGTCAGCCACCCGGTTTCAACGCCGCCTCCAGCGGGGCCAGTGAAGCCGTTGTCAACCATGTCGTGATGCCACTTATCTGGAAGCTGTTTTGTCCTGTTGTAATGCTTTGGTCTGCCTCTAGCACGACCCAGGTTCTGTCGACTCCTCGTGGGTCCGGGTCCGCCTCCTCGGCCTGCAAACGCTGCTCCTCCTGCTTGTCTCTCGTCTCCTGCTGCCTCAACAGCCGTGGCCCCCTGGTCCGTTCCAGGCATAGCCACCCCCAGCCGCGGTTCCTCTCTTTGGTCCCTCTTCTTTCCTCTCGTAATTTTCACCTCCTTACTTGGTCAATTCCCACTTCTGACACCAATTGTGAGACTGACCGTTGAGCGGCCCAAACCAAGCAAGGAGGCAGAACGTCCAAAAATATAAACCGACGTGGGCATTTATTAAAATCATGTGCACAAAGTTCACAGCCTTAATCCTGCTGTTCTCCTTGCACACATCCTGCAGCCACAAGGATCTCACACACACCCAGTTACAAGGAAACAGCACCTAAATACACACATACTAACAAGACACAGGTGAGGGGGGAGGAGACAACACAGGACACCAGGTGCACACAATCATCAGCCACAGACATCAACATATTATTTGCACCCTGATTACTCTCAACCGCTGTCATCCTTACACCAGCATAACTACTCTCGGCGCTCTCGCAAACTCCCCTATCTTTTCAGGCGGAGCCGAGGACCCCGACCAGCACCTGCCAGACGACATTCCAATAAATACGGTTTAATCAGTTAAAAAATACTACCTCAATAATTAGTATAAATGATGTGCAAATATGTAATGTCAACTGTACTGTGCAATCACGCTATTAAAGTGCAATATTACCCGGCCTGAAGCCGTCAGTCCATAGTGACAAAGTTACCTCACCTCACCTGAGCTGTAGTTATCAGAGGCTCTCAGTCTGACAGTAGAGAGCTCTCCTTCCACCTTGTTGTTGAAACATCTCCCTAAATCCATTAGCGTAGCTAGCTAGCACCAGATGCTAACAACAACAATAAAAGTAACCGGTGCGCTCTCTCTTTCTCTCGCTCGCGCCACGGGAAACCTCCCAGTCCTCCCGATGGCCAGTCCGGGCACACACACGCGTGCACACACACACACACACACACACACACACACACACACACACACACACACACACACACACACACACACACACACACACACACACACACACACACACACACACACACATATGCATTATTTGTGATTTTAAAATAATGATTGTGTATTAGTGACCCCCACAGATGTATGATTTCACAGCGTCCGTGGGAGCTCAGACCCCTCCTTATGAGAGCTCAGCTCCCATTGGCTCCCACATAACTCGAACCCTGCATGTTAGGTAATGAAAAACAGTATAGATGGACTTTTATTAATCCCTCGTGGGGAAATTGTTTCTCTGCATTTGACCCATCCTAGTGTTAGGAGCAGTGGGCTACCATTTTGAACGGCGCCCGGGGAGCAGTGTGGTGGGTGCCTTGCTCAGGGACACCTCGGTAGCACTTGGTCTTGCCGGGACTTGTACTGGTGACCTTCCAGTTGCCAAGCCAAGTCCCTATCGACTTCGCCACCACCGCCCTAATAATATAATAATAATAGGGGACCTTTACCCGTAACATGTCGCTGCTCACATCTTATGACTAAAAGCCTTGAACCTTGATCTTCCGACCTGGGTCATATTTGTTATCCAAACATGGTGGTTCACGATAACAATGTCCGAAACGGTCTCCTTCCTCCTCAGTTCAGTTCAGCGGGATGTGGCCTCAGTAAATCTTGCCTCAGAGATCCAGTGGGCTGTCACCCAGAGTCAGATCCCGCCTGTTTCTTCCTGTCGTTCGTTACTGATCAACAAGGAGGGAGTGTGACGTTTGAGTTGAGCGGGCCAGCTGAAGGATACTTGGCCTTTGCCCTCTCTCTGGACAAATGGATGGTGAGTTATATGATTCAAAATATTAATTCCCACAGCTGAATCCTCTTCAAATGAGGCAGAATTCTCAAACATGAATGAATTTGTACAGCTTTTGTAAAAAAACGACGTAGTTTATTTACATTTTTTCGACATCCTATACTATGTCCTTTTCCTGAATAGTTTGACATACTGTACAACCACATATTTTCACATACTTTTGAATATACTATACAAATAATCGTCATTCTTACCACACTGATTGGTTAAATAGATGTTTTGAGAAAAGTTATTAAGAAATATATGGTGTAATGGATAAGGCACTGACCTCTGGAGTAAGGGAATGTTGGTTTGATTCCCGTCTTCTAATAAAAGCTTATTTTTGTATTTTCTCGACAAACTATACTATGACTTTTCGGTCATTTTTACTGACAAATATATTATTTAGATGAGGGAGGACCCTTATCTAAAAAACAATTGTTATCACCCCCCCGACCCTCATCTAAGAAAAGATATGCATTCTATACTATGACTTTCGGGTCATTTTGTTCAACACTTGATACTATGCCTGGTTTCTACACACTGCAGTATACTGTGCCTTAATTCGACATAATGTAGTTGTTTTCAATTTTTTCGACATACTATACAGTATGATGTCGTTTCTGTCCTTTTCATCCACCTACTATACTACGCCTTATTTCAACAAACTATAACATACCTTATTTCGACTTAAAACACTACCCCTGCTGTCAATTCTTGTGATGTTATTATTGACGTGTTTTCATTGTGGTCCTGTTTACCATGAACTCTTCAACCTTCCCTTTTACAGTTAGACAAACAACAGCTTTGGGACTGAACACAATGAGCTATAAATAGATGTATGTACATTGTTCTTCCGTTGTAGGGGAATGATGACGTCTACATGTGTGTGAGTGATGGAGGCAGCGTCACCATCAGTGCTGCATACGTCTCTGGGCGAACATACCCTGAGCCGGCGATACAGGTACACACTCCGACACACACTGATCACTATCGACACACAGTTACTATGATGGCTGTATGTTTTACAGTGTTGACCGTTCTGTTTGCAGCAGGATCTGTGGGGCCGGGCATGGAGGTTGGCTGATGGGTTAATCCAATGTCGTTTCCAAAGAAAAATCATTCTCCCTCACACCGACGGCAGGTTCAACTTAAGCCAGAGCTACTTCCTGTTTCTTGCAAATGGTAGATCTCAGCAGGGTAAGACAGCAGTGACTTGATGTTTAACATGATGGGTATGCAATGCAAAAAATAGCTAGTTATTCCTGTCCACTACCAATATCAATCAATCAACAACTTTATTAATCCCACAAGGGGCAATTGGTTATGATAATATGATGCCAGCCTAGGTCACTTTGGATGAATACTTAAATGAATGACCTAAAAGTTAAACAGAGAAACGGTCACTTTAACTTTTTGTTGTCAATTCCTGTCTTCGTATTTTATATTTACACCTTGGGGTCATGTGCTTTCAGACTAGGATATTCATATCAAATTGCTTCCTCTTCACAGTGCTATATACTGAGTTGACATGACATTCTTGTGCGTTTAATAACATTTTGTGTAATTGAGTGCAGAGTCCATGTTGTCAGCAGTTTGTCCTCCACAGGTTTTATCCACAGGCATGATCGCCAACCTCTGATCTCCTCGAACCAGAAGGAGATCACGGGGCCTCCTGAGGATCTCGGTGGCTCCCGCTCCCCTCTGCTCATCAAGATCCACGGTCGGTTGACAAACATTACATTCATATGGGTCTAGTTAGCATGTGCTAACGCTATACTATTGTAAGTAATTCTGGTGTGAAATATCATGCTAAAAAGAATCATTCCTTACAACCTAGTCTCCCATCTGTGACTTCTGCTATGTGTTATTTGATTCAGTCAGTCCCAATGAAAACCCAACAAAAACCTTAGTGGAAAGCCAAGATGTTTTTTTAATGGATAGATTAGCTTTAATTTACTATAGGAAAGTAGAGAAGGGTGGGCAAGACAAAGCGTAACTGTACAGAACTTTCCAAAGGGACGACACACAATGATTTTACAACAACCAATAGAAGACAAGGACTTAAATAAAAGCAGAACTACTCACACAGATAAAGCACAGCTGGAGAGGACCGGCAACAACACAAGGGCAGCAGGTAAAAACAATCCAGGTGTGAAAACATACAGACAGGAAGTAAAAGCAGACATAAAACAGGGGATGAAAAACGTTTCAAAATAAAACAGGCAACGCAAAGACAGAGCATGGCAGTCGGACAGGCATGCTTTAATTCAAGGCAGAAAGTAGATGATACCTCATTGCTTAAGAATTATACATGTTTTCCTTTCCCTTATCTCTGTTCCCTTAGGTGTTTTAATGCTGACTGTCTGGATGTGGATGGTGAGCACAGCCATCTTCATTGCTCGCCACTACAAAAACGTCTGGCCTGAGAAAACTGTGCTGGGACAAAAGCTTTGGTTTCAGGTGAGAGCACCAGTATCCGTTACAATTACAATGAAACACACATGGGATAGGCTCTGGGACAAAAGCTTTGGTTTCAGGTGAGAGCACCAGTATCCGTTACAATTACAATGAAACACACACATGGGATAGGCTCTGAAATCTCACATAAAATATCTGAGGAATATAACACAGATCTAGTCTTCATCAAGTTTTAAATAGTCCACCTCCCTCATTTTCATTCTCTCTGTAGCTTCATCGAACCATGATGGTGTTGGCTGTGCTTCTCACTGCTGTGGCCTTCACCCTGCCTTTTATTTACAGAATGGGATGGAGCAAGGTAAGAGTGTGTGTGTGTGTACGTGTGTGTTTGTACATGGACCCCCTCCATCATTGCCCACCTGTCCCTCCATCTGTCTAACTGGCTCTTGCCATCCCTGAATCTTTGTAGTGTGTGTGTCTCTGTGTCCCACACACACATCTTCACAACAACACACTCTGCCATCATCATTGTGTCATCAGCCTTTTCTTTTACTGGTGGACTTCAGTCTGAGTGTGTGTGTGTGCTTAGCAGCAATCTATAAAGACTTGTCCTAGAAGTAACTAGTAGATTTGTATATTTCATGTACATTCAACAACATGCTGAAGATCTTGAGAAACGTAGGTATATATTTTAAGTCTTGATGAAGTCTGTGTCTATAAAAGTGGAGTGTCACAGGTTTAGCAATAATAACACGGGCAGGAAAAGACAGGAAGTAAAACAAGACACGGGGACAAAATACATTTAAAAATAAAACAGGAAAAACACCAGGTTCATGACATGGATCTTCCCCTAGTTCCAACATCTCCAAGCGTACAGAAATGGAAAATAAAAATGTAGTCTATAGATAATTGTGCCTTTTAAAATGTTTGTCTCAAACCTAGAGGACATTATTCAACTTCTGAAATCCTCCTCTTGCTGCCTTGATATTATTCCAACAGGATTTTTCAAAGATGTTTTGCCTTGCATGGCCTCAGATCTACTTCATATAGTAAACAAATCTCTTCACTCAGGTATTTTTCCACAGGCCCTGAAAACTGCAGTCATTAAACCGCTCTTAAAAAAGAATAATCTAGATGCTTCAGTAATGAACAATTACAGGCCCATATCAAACCTGCCATTTCTAGGTAAAATCATTGAAAAAGTTGTTTTTCAACAGTTGAGTAATTTCTTGCATTTAAATAACTGTTTTGATGTGTTCCAGTCAGGCTTTTCGTCCAAACCACAGCACTGAGACTGCTCTTGTAAAGGTCTTTAATGACATCCACTTAAACACAGACAGTGGCAGAACTTCAGTGTTAGTATTATTAGATCTCAGTGCTGCGTTTGACACTGTTGACCACAGCATATTACTAGACCGACTGGAAAACTGGGTGGGACTTTCGGAAACAGTTCTGAATTGGTTTGAATCCTACTTAAAGGACAGAAAGAACTTTGTTTCTATAGGTAAATACACATCTGAGTTGACAAATATGACATGTGGGGTTCCTCAAGGCTCCATCTTGGGGCCTCTTCTCTTTAACATCTACATGCTACCACTGGCTCAGATAATGAAGAACAACAAAATAAGTTACCATAGCTATGCAGATGACACACAAATTTACATAACAATTTCACCAGGAGACTATGCTCCAATTCAAACACTGAGTAAGTGCATTGAACAAATCAATGACTGGATGTGTCAGAACTTTCTCCAATTAAACAAAGATAAAACTGAGGTAATGGTTTTTGGAGCCAAGGCAGAACGTATCAAAGTTAGCGCTGAGCTTCAGTGTGCAATGTTCAAAACAACAGATAAAGCCAGAAATCTAGGTGTAGTCATGGACTCTGACCTGAGTTTCAACAGTCACATTAAAACTGTTACTAAATCAGCCTACTATCACCTAAAGAATATATCTAGGATTAAAAGACTAATGTCACAGCAGGATTTGGAAAAACTTGTCCATGCTTTTATCTTCAGTAGACTCGACTACTGCAATGGTGTCTTCACAGGTCTCACTAAAAAATCTATTAGAAAGCTGCAGCTGATTCAGAACGCTGCTGCTCGAGTCCTCACTAACACTAAGAAAGTGGATCACATCACTCCAGTTCTGAAGTCTTTACACTGGCTTCCTGTGTGTCAAAGAATAGATTTCAAAATACTGCTGCTGGTTTATAAAGCACTGAATGGTTTAGGCCCAAAATACATTTCTGACCTCCTGCTAAATTATGAACCATCCAGATCTCTCAGGTCTTCAGGGACTGGTCAGCTTTCTGTCCCCAGAGTCAGAACTAAACATGGTAAAGCAGCGTTCAGTTATTATGCTCCAAATATCTGGAACAAACTCCCAGAAACCTGCAGGTCCGCTGCAACTATGACTACTTTTAAATCCAGGCTGAAGACTTTTCTTTTTGTCGCTGCTTTTAATTGAACTATTCATATCTTAGACTGCACTGTAACTTTTATCCATGTATTTTTTCTTTTAATGTTTATTTTATTAGCTTTTCTTTTTAATGACTGATTTTAAATGCCATTTTCTTAATCTCTTTCATTTTTTGTATAGCACTTTGAATTGCCTTGTGTTGAAAAGTGCTATATAAATAAACTTGCCTGCTGCCTTGCCTGCCTTGCCTTGCCTTGCCTTGCCTTGCCTTGCCTTGCCTTGCCTTGCCTTGCCTTGCCTTGCCTTGCCTTGCCTTGCCTTGCCTTGCCTTGCCTTGCCTTGCCTTGCCTTGCCTTGCCTTGCCTTGCCTTGCCTTGCCTTGCCTTGCCTTGCCTTGCCTTGCCTTGCCTTGCCTTGCCTTGCCTTGCCTTGTCTCTCAGTCTGTGTTAGCACTGTGATGAGGTGTTTGTCTGAGTGTGTGTGTTTGTCTGAGTGTGTGTGTGTGTGTTCCAACCAAGGCCATCTGTGTACGGTGATAATGACATGTTATGATCATTATGTTTGACAAGTGAGTGAAACTTTATCCCCTTCGTGGAGGGTTCCTGTGTGTGTGTGTGTGTGTGTGTGTGTGTGTGTGTGTGTGTGGTGTGTGTGTGTGTGTGTGGTGTGTGTGTGTGTGTGTGTGTGTGTGTGTGTGTGTGTGGTGTGTGTGTGTGTGTGTGTGTGTGTGTGTGTGTGTGTGAGTGAGAGTGACTCAGCCGTGTTAGTCACATGCTGCTCTCTGGTGTAAGTGACACAAATCCACCGAGCGTTTACTCATCGCCACAGAGGAGCTTCAGTGTGTGTGTTGAATATGGAGGTCTACGCTGCCTCCTGTGGGTGAACTGAAGATGTTTGCAAAAAAAAGCTTTATTCTTGTGGTTGTATTACAGCTAATGAGAAAGCAGCAGGCTCAAAACGACTCTTTTTGTAATAAGACAGTATATTTCTGCTTAATACTGTATTTTTCTTCATAGTCTTAGGTACTTTTAGCATTCTCAAAAATATTCCATTAAACTCATCTCAGTTTCTGAATCGCAGTCATCAGGGGTCTACTTCTAACCAATTTGAGGGATTTTAAGCGAACATACATTACACTGTTAGTGTACAGTTTTATTATTATGCTGCTGTGTTTATGCTGCTCTGGCACAACTACTTCCTTCGGGATTAATAAAGTCTTATCTTAAATTATCTTATTATACAGTTTGATTGTGAAGTGGAGGATACTCTGTACTTGAGTCCATTAGGTGTGCTAATTTGACAAATCCCAGCACAGGTCTTCATATATTTTAGTACTTAGATGACATCCATTCTCTAACAGGAGCAGTTCTTATTTTGAAGCTTTTTGATACCGACTTATTTGTTCCACATCTCTATTGAAAGAGGTTTGCAGTGGCCTCTAGGTGTCTATCTTTCTCCATGACAGACCGTCAGAACGTACTGACTGAATCTGGCAAAAATAAATCATAAACAAGACGTTTGATTACTTGGAAACATAGTATGCGTTTGCAGAATAGTCCAGATCACGTATAACTATGTTGGAATGTTTCCATTAGCTTATGTAAGTGGTGTAATTTATGGAGAAAGTGTGTATGAATATGACTCTAAATGGGCAGCCATTAGGTGTCAGCATGCTTCCGACAGAAAGGGTGTTATTTAATTGAGATTGCTTGCAGGGTTAAGTGCATACAGTATGAATACTAACGCTCTGAGGCAGTCTTTGCTCTGATCCTTCCTGCTGTGTCAGGCCTTGTCTCTGATTCTGGTGTGACACCGTGTGAACTTCACACACCGCCTGCTGTTCCCCCCCGCCGTGACCCTTCCTCCTCACAGAGCTTTTTAAATGCATTCGTCTGAAGGGCTTCGGGTTGCTTTAAAGGATATTCTGTCGGAAGATATCAGAGTTGACAGCAACATGTATAGAGTCTAATTCAATCAACAGTAACTTCATGATCAACACCGTGTTTACATCCAAAACAAATGAATACATACTATTCACAAACATAAATGATCATTAAACTGTCTGTTCCTTTTTACATGTGTCCCCAATAGGACTTTAAAGGTCACCTATTATGCAAAACCCTCTTCTTCATGTCTCTTCTACATGTCTCTTCTACATCAACACGTGTCCCCTCTTCTTCATGTCTCTTCTACATCAACATGTGTCCCCTCTTCTCCATGTCTCTTCTACATCAACATGTGTCCCCTCTTCTTCATGTCTCTTCTACATCAACATGTATCCCCTCTTCCTCATGTCTCTTCTACATCAACATGTGTCCCCTCTTCTTCATGTCTCTTCTACATCAACATGTGTCCCCTCTTCTTCATGTCTCTTCTACATCAACATGTGTCCCCTCTTCTTCATGTCTCTTCTACATCAACATGTGTCCCCTCTTCTCCATGTCTCTTCTACATCAACATGTGTCCCCTCTTCTTCATGTCTCTTCTACATCAACATGTGTCCCCTCTTCCTCATGTCTCTTCTACATCAACATGTGTCCCCTCTTCTTCATGTCTCTTCTACATCAACATGTGTCCCCTCTTCTCCATGACTCTTCTACATCAACATGTGTCCCCTCTTCTTCATGTCTCTTCTACATCAACATGTGTCACCTCTTCTTCATGTCTCTTCTACATCAACATGTGTCCCCTCTTCTTCATGTATCTTCTACATCAACATGTGTCCCCTCTTCTTCATGTCTCTTCTACATCAACATGTGTCCCCTCTTCTTCATGTCTCTCCTACATCAACATGTGTCCCCTCTTCTTCATGTCTCTTCTACATCAACATGTGTCCCCTCTTCTTCATGTCTCTTCTACATCAACATGTGTCCCCTCTTCTCCATGACTCTTCTACATCAACATGTGTCCCCTCTTCTTCATGTCTCTTCTACATCAACATGTGTCCCCTCTTCTCCATGACTCTTCTACATCAACATGTGTCCCCTCTTCTCCATGTCTCTTCTACATCAACATGTGTCCCCTCTTCTCCATGACTCTTCTACATCAACATGTGTCCCCTCTTCTTCATGTCTCTTCTACATCAACATGTGTCCCCTCTTCTCCATGTCTCTTCTACATCACCATGTGTCCCCTCTTCTTCATGTCTCTTCTACATCAACATGTGTCCCCTCTTCTCCATGTCTCTTCTACATCAACATGTGTCCCCTCTTCTCCATGTCTCTTCTACATCAACATGTGTCCCCTCTTCTTCATGTCTCTTCTACATCAACATGTGTCCCCTCTTCTCCATGTCTCTTCTACATCAACATGTGTCCCCTTCTCATACTCAATGGACTCTTCTACATCAACATGTGTCCCTCTTCTTCATGTCTCTTCTACATCAACATGTGTCCCCTCTCTTCATGTCTCTTTCTACATCAACAATGTGTCCCCTCTTCTTCATGTCTCTCCTACATCAACATGTGTCCCCTCTTCTTCATGTCTCTCCTACATCAACATGTGTCCCCCTCTTCTTCATGTCTCTCCTACATCAACATGTGTCCCCTCTTCTTCATGTCTCTCCTACATCAACATGTGTCCCCTCTTCTTCATGTCTCTCCTACATCAACATGTGTCCCCTCTTCTTCATGTCTCTCCTACATCAACATGTGTCCCCTCTTCTTCATGTCTCTTCTACATCAACAGTGTCCCCTCTTCTTCATGTCTCTTCTACATCAACATGTGTCCCCTCTTCTTCATGTCTCTTCTACATCAACACGTGTCCCCTCTTCTCCATGACTCTTCTACATCAACATGTGTCCCCTCTTCTCCATGTCTCTTCTACATCAACATGTGTCCCCTCTTCTTCATGTCTCTTCTACATCAACATGTGTCCCCTCTTCTTCATGTCTCTTCTACATCAACATGTGTCCCCTCTTCTTCATGTCTCTTCTACATCAACATGTGTCCCCTCTTCTCCATGACTCTTCTACATCAACATGTGTCCCCTCTTCTCCATGTCTCTTCTACATCAACATGTGTCCCCTCTTCTTCATGTCTCTTCTACATCAACATGTGTCCCCTCTTCTTCATGTCTCTTCTACATCAACATGTGTCCCCTCTTCTTCATGTCTCTTCTACATCAACATGTGTCCCCTCTTCTTCATGTCTCTTCTACATCAACATGTGTCCCCTCTTCCTCATGTCTCTTCTACATCAACATGTGTCCCCTCTTCTTCATGTCTCTTCTACATCAACATGTGTCTCCTCTTCTTCATGTCTCTTCTACATCAACATGTGTCCCCTCTTCTCCATGACTCTTCTACATCAACATGTGTCCCCTCTTCTCCATGTCTCTTCTACATCAACATGTGTCCCCTCTTCTTCATGTCTCTTCTACATCAACATGTGTCCCCTCTGTGTAAAGAGACTCTGAAAGTTTCAGGAACAAAGATTCTCTCTTTTTGATCCATTTCTATACAAACCTGTCTGAAAATGAGCTGATTAGATTTTGGCCACTTTATGATGTCATAACGATGTTTTGTCTTGTGTAACCATTAGCCAATCAGCAACCAAGGTAACCCCCCCCCCCCACCACCTTATCACCTGAATCTCCTCTAGAACACCATTGAGTTCTTTGTAACCAAATCTCTCTCAGAGGGGCGTGGGGAGGGGCTCCTTATTTTCATCTAAAGTAACAGACAGAGAATCAGCACTTTGGAAACAGGGCTGAAACAGAGGGGATTATGGGTAATGCTGCAATGATCTCATGGTGTTTGGAGCCAAACACTTCAGAGACAGGTTTGTATATATCTGAGACCTATAATATATTGATGAGAAACAGTATAATAGGGGACCTTTAAGATAAATATGATGTACAACTGGGGTCAGATGACTACATATTACTCTCTGTAATATATAACTGCAGCTCCGCTCTGTGTTTTCTGTTGTTTGTCAGCACGCCGGCTCTCACCCGTACATCGGCTGCACCGTCATGGTTCTGTCACTCATCCAGCTCATTATGGGAGCTCTCCGACCGGCCCCCGACTCCCCCAGGTAACACCTGGAACCACATTTGAACAACTCCAACACTTGCTCGCATCCGTCTCAATTAAGTGGATTGTTCCCTTATGTATTCCTGCGAGAAGCACCATTAGGGGTTTGAAATCATCCACGTAACCCAGTCCTGTCTCTCTGCATCTGCAGGAGGATTATCTTCAACTGGATGCACCTTGTGACAGGCACCGCTGGCCAGGTACTCGCTGGTGAGTAGAGTCATTAGGGAGGATATTTTCTGGAGAACCTGCAGAAGCTGCTCTGACAAGACTTGTTTTCCAGTATCTGTTACATAACCATTATGGAAAAATATAATACTCCTATGCGCCAGGGTCTTATACTCTGGCCCTTTAGAATGATTCGTGCATAGTGAATCACTTATGCTCATGGCCACTGAGGTACTGCTTAGTAAAAATACTGCAGTAAGAATCTTTCTCTAAGTGGTTTTCTATATCCAAGTTTCATATTAAGATAAAGCTGGTGTTATTCCACATCATTCCATATTATTTTCAGATGTGCAGAGAACAAATGTCACTGTGTGCTCCTACCACCCTCCCAATTCTTCTTCTTCGATATCTAAACGTGCATCTCTACTCTCTCCCCCCAGTGGCGTGTGTGTTCCTGGGGGTCTCTCAGCAGGCGCTGCTGTTACCCAGCCCCTCTTCTCCTGCAGTGCTGGCTGCATGGCTGCTGTGGACCCTGCTGGCTCACCTGCTGCTACAGATCCATTCCTGCACCCTCAGGAGAGAAGGTACTACCTATAGAACTATCTAAGAAGTGTCTCTAAGTACCTGAACGTGGTCTTAATGATGTGGGCTGTTGTTTTGAGTGTAGTGTAAGAAGAAGACATATTCACCACATCCTGGAGTCTCAGCGGACACCTCCACCTCCATTAAGAGCATTAATGACATTAATGCTCTTAATGTCTTTCAATTTTGTAAAGCACTTTGAATTGCCCTAAGTTGAGCTCAATATTCAGAGCCCCTTGGTTTCTACTGAAAACAAGAATCTTCAAAAACAGCTCATACATGTGTCATTTCACCAGACTTCTTTTAAATTGATGCGTATTAATTCAGCGAGAAACAAAACACATTTGCTTGGAGACTGAACAAACCACCTCGAGCACATCAGTGAATGTGGCGATGACATTAAAATCAAACGTGTTGCTAGGCTTTAACACATGACGATGCTCACGCTATGCAGATCCCCTAACGTGTTAAATTCACCCGTGCCGTCAGTGCACTCCTCGCTTTTAATTCTGTCTCCTGTTAGCTGTAGATTAGTTCCTTATGCCTGGGGTAAACAGTTGGTATTACTTGTTTGTTTAAATTAGCGGTAAGTGCTGCTGCCTGGACTGAGAAATCAATTGTTCTGTTCTGATGCACGATGACTAAAGTTAGTGTGTGTGTGTGTGTGTATGTGTGTGTGTGAAAATGCTAAATAGCTTGGAAATGTCAACTCTCTGTGCTGTTAATTTAATGACGGACCTGATATCAACTCTACTTTAATTTAAAAGTACTTATAGCAGTGGAGTACAAGTGATCCACATTGCAATGTTCTTGATAGAGATGAATTTGAAATAAGTTTGGTATTTCTGTGTTCTTTGCTCAAACATATCTGAATAAACATTGTACATCTATAGGGAGCGACAGAGAGAACATTTGTTCTGCTCAGTCATGGAGGCAGCAGCCTGAAGAGGTGAGATCTGAAATCAAACGTACTTTTCTATTTGTTAGCCTTATTTATCTTCTATGTATTGATTTGTTTGTATTAATCCCTTTCAGAAATCCAATGTCAAGAAGATGGTGTTTGTGGTGTTCCTATTGGGAAATACAGCGTTCCTGGCTGCCTTTATAACAACTATTGCAAGTGTGTAATGATCACAAATGATTATCTATATCATTATGTCTGGTAATTGTTTTACACTATACATTTCTGCTATTTAATACTTTTTGTTGCTATTACTTGGTGTAAGATAGTTTATTAAAGGTCATTGATAGCTAAGGATGTTTTAAATAGTACCTACATGTTCAGTTATGCAAATGTTAAAACCTGTTTGACTCCTAAGACTTTACTGAGTACATTTATACTTCGCAGAGAATGAACAATTTCCATTTTCAGATAATTAAGCGACTTTCCTTGTGCCACCAACCCTCACGCTGATATGTTATCTTAGCACACAAGTCATCTCATCAACACCCGACAAATGAAGCCGGCCAACATTCTTCTTTTACATTGTTTATTGTTGCACTAGTCTCTTCAATAATTGCACGAGGAATACAAAGTAAAAAGCCCCCGAATATTAAGTCATAAGCCTGAAAAAGCCATGTCAGGGACTTTCCACAGAATGTTTAAACATCAGCAAGCAACCTTGAGATTTGTAAGCTATAATTGAACAAAGAAGCATACAAACATGAAATGTAAAACAATGCTGTTTAAGGTCAGTCCAATCTAAGGAAAAGGAGTAACAAGCTCTAAGAAGCTGAACATAACAAGGCTTTGTAAATAATGATATCAACTTTACAATTATCATTAAATACATTTTTATATTTAGGAAAATCCCTTTTTTTTCAGACGATTGTCCTGTAACAAAAAAAAAAAGGAGGAGGAGGTTGAATGTAAATGAAATTAAACTAAGAAAAATAAACAAGATGTAAGTATACCGTATCTTAAAGGTAGGGTAGGTAAGAATGGAGAAACCAGCTCGAGTGCGCTAGAATTTGAAAGTACACAGTCGGAAAAAATCTGCCCCTTCCTTCAGACTTCCTCACAGAGCCCCTCCTCCAACACACACGAACGCGCACATGACCAATGAGGGCACGAGATACATTTGTGCCCAGATGGAAGGCTGACAGGCAGGTAGGCCATCCAGTTATTTTAGCCGGCTCAGATGATTGGTCGAGCTTTTTACAGTACTACGGCTTCCACAGATGACATTTTTTAATGTATTGTCAGATGTCAAAGCATTTAATATATTCATTCTTTCACACACAGTGACGTCACGAGCTACCCACAATGCAACACGCGCCATATATATATATATATGCCATTTTCCTGGAGGTGCAAATATCCTGGAAGTGCAAATATAAACAGCTAGCTAACGTAGCCAGGCAGAGCGCACTAGGTTTTTTTTCTGAATTAACGACTGAAGAAATCGCTGCATATCTCTGGACTTGAGGGGTGTGCTCTGGGTCGTTACCAGCGTAAACTAGAGCTGTGTGGGTTGTCGGATTGCCCTTACAGACTGCCTGCAGATGTATGGAAAAACGACCCTCGAAAGTGGCCTTTGTCAATTTTGGCTGCATCTACGTCTAATTTCTGGAAACACCAGGTGAATACCCCACTTGTCACAATAATATTATCATGCCATTGCATATACAGTATGTGGTATTTTAGAGTTCACTAGATATTGATTAAGGCAATAGACTATGATATTCAGTACAGGAAGCTTAGCAACACCTAGACGGTGTACGGCTAAACCCTTGGCCTGCTTGCACCTCGCGTAAAACGGCAGATACCGGAAGTACGGTTTCGCCCTCGGCCCAATACCCGTATGTGTGTGTGAAAGAATTCCATGGAATATAACAAAGTGTTTCTGACGTGAATTACCTAACCCACCTTTAACTGTACAGTATATAAATGAACATTCATTTATAGTCATTTTGTATAGAGAATAAAATACTATCTTTTAAAACCTATGTAATTATTTTGTATTTCCAAAGCTCTGAGATTTGAGTCCACTTTGCATGTATATCATTGGTCCTCTAGTTTAAAGCACTGTGACAGCAATGCTCACTACACCTGTACTTATTGGATTGTCTAACTGCAGGTAGTGTGTGACAAACTGAACTCTAAAATGCATATTCATATTTATTCTCGCTAAATGATTTATGTAACAATATGTGATTTATACTTTTCAACTTAAAGGTATGGGTTTAATATATTCTTTATATTGTGCTGATTTACGCCCATCTAGCTCACCTTAAAATATTAATTTGCAGCGAATAAGCATTGTACGAAAATACAATTAATATACACTGAGCATGTAGCGTTTGCTGTATCAAGACATACAATAACATCAAAATATGTTTTTAAATCTGATTTACATTTATAATGTCAAGAAAGGTTAAGCAAAGAGTGGAGTCAACATTACATTTGTCTAACATTCAGGCATCTCAGCAAAAACAACAACTCTCAGATCAGCAAATACTCGTCTTTTAAAGCAACATTATATAACTGTTTTAATACTATAAAATATGAGTTCTTCTCTCTGATAGTGCTGTGGTAGCCTGTGGGTTATATATGAAGTCTCTTGATGAACAGAAAGCTTTTAACTTTGCAATAGTAACGTGCTTTATGCCTTGTGATGTTTTGGCTGAGTATGCAAAGATGTCGACTCGCTAGATTTTGATTATTAATAAGTAAGGTAATCATAACAAATGCATGTCTAACACAACAGCTTCCAATATTAATGACTAGCACTCTGAAACCACCGATTACTACATAATGTTGCTTTAAATAAAGGAAAGGTTCACAATCTTTCAATTCTATCTTAATACAGTAGTCACATGTCATAGATAGACTCATTGATTACTTTCATTTTCCATACTGGCCTTAAGTCAAACTCCTTATAACGCCGCCAAACTGTATGGGATTGAAATTGCACTCTGTTTAAGTAAAGTCTGCTCATTCAATATGGAGTTCTTCTAACTGATTTGCAGTAGGCATCTGTTTTAACGTAAGCTTAAAGCTAGTCTAAACTGCTTGTCCAACACTTTACAGCAGACAAAGTGAAATGCTAGCTAGCATGAGAAAATCTTTCGAGGAGTTAGTAGCGACCAAACTTGAGCTTAAAACACTCAAATGATTGATAAAGGTGCACTGTTCTGCGTCGAAATAGGTAACTACTACAAGGTATGATGTGGCAATGTTCAGTTACACAACCTTAACCCTCACAACTAACCTTCGTGCTATCAAAGCGTACCCTAGCTACAATTATAATGTATCTGACAGCTACCAATAACGTTTTATGTACATATGGCATGTGAGTACTATATTAAGATTTCTTTACTACTATCCCCGAAAAATAAGGTCAATATTCAAAGTATTTTTTTTGAGGTTATGTGCTTCTTTTTAAACGGTATAATATGCAGGTGATCGTTCACCAGGAGGCATGCCAATATTAAACATTATTGCATGATAATCACCATTTTCCACAGTTCCAAATCCTCATACCTTGGAAGCTGTGTGTTGGCACTGTTCCTGTCGAAATTGTAATAAAGATGATTTTATAAATCAAACAAGTAGTATAAACTGTCATCTCCTGCAGCAGCTTTGATTCAAAAGGGATTAGGACACATCAGAAAACAACGCACACCCTCTGCCCAGAAGTTAGTGTTATCAGAATAAAACTGTAGAAGATTTATATGAATTTTGTCAACAAAAAAAAACCATTCTCATTGTCTTGCCAATTTTGCCCAAAGCATCACAGAAGCAGAGCGTTTCGGTTTTGTCACAAAATGAAACAAACAATTGCAACACTGCATTCAACTTGGATGAGTAAAACATTGACAATTGATGGCCATATATGGCAAACTGTTGACTTGGTCCTCTTCATTCGTTTTTTGTAAACTCGCCCGCCTCCCAGCGCAGAGCCATAGCACTCTTGCGTCTTCCTCCTGCGTAGAGGTCTGGAAACTAAGAAAGACAGCTGATTGTTTACCTGCTTTCAAAGCACTCCCTCCACCTCCTTCACTTCCACCTCCTCTCTCAGATTATAAGACTGAAGTGGGAAGTAAATGAGTGTCAATGCAATGGTAATGGTATGGTCATATTGCTGTTGAGTTACTTAGCTACAATTAAGAAATGAAAATGGAAATGTATGAACAAGAACTTACTCTGTGATCACAGGATAAAGCAGAGCGATCCATCCTGTAGGCCGTTTTCATTGGTGATGATGGGGACGACTTGCACTTCACTGGTAAGATCAAAACATCATCATTAGCTTAATGCACACACACCAAAAGGCAACACACATGTGTACAGAGTGTTAATAATGTGGTCGATATGTCGCTGACGTACCTGGATTGTCAAACGACAACGTGTCCATGTGATTTGACAATATCCTTTCGTTATCGAACCTGTCTTTCCCGTACATATTCACCCTCTCTTTCTTGAGCTCTTCCTCCCTCTGCTTCATCATCTTAATCTCTTCATCCACCAGCGACATTGTGCTTCTTGAACGCAGCTTGAAAAAGGGGTTGTTAAGGAACATCTTCTCCTGGGGTTGCTCACAGGCTTTGTTGAGTGAGAAATCGGAGGCACTTCGGATAATCAGGTTGGATGTCTCGAGGATGATGACGTTGGAGCTGCTGTCCTCGGAGCACCACTCTCCGGACTGAGCCGCCCCGTTGTCTTTGCCATGTCTCAGGTTGGATGTGAAATCATTTCTTGGGTCGAGAATGATGACGTTGTTTGCCGATACTTCATGTCTTTGTGGTTCCTTACTGGGTGAGGTGGTAATGATGAATGACGGCGTCAGTGGAGTGCTTATAGATCTCGGCATACTTCGTGATGGAGCACAATCAGTGGATTTGCCCATCCTGGAGAGGCCCTTTTCTCTCCTGAAGTTTTCCTCCCGCTCCATTGATATGCGAATCTCCCTTTCGACAGATGTCTCCAAGTCATCATACGGTGACCTGTAGCTGGAATCATCCAGGCCAGAATCCTCTGAGCAAGGGCTGAATTGCGTGTGAGGATAATCGCCAAGCAGATTCAAGTTCTCCAGTTCGTAAGCTTTCTTCTGAGTTCTTTCAATGTTGCGGACCGGTGTGTACATGAAGCTGTGGCTGCCGTGAAAGCTGGGGGGCTTGGTTGTAGGGATGATGATCTTGTTCTTAGTTTGCTCCTCCATTTCCCGCCACTGTTTTCGAGCCAGCTGGAAGTCCACATGCTCTGTGCTGACATTCTTACTCTTGGTCTCCTGTATCACACAGAAGTCTTTCGGTTGCTTCTTGTTCGAGTCTGCATCAATGTGCTTTTCATTGGCGGCGTGGTTATGATTGGCATCTCTTCCATTTTCACCCTCATCTTCAGAGATTTTGGACAAACCTTGAAGGCCTAAAGGGTTATACTTAACCTCTTGTGGAGGAATAGGAAAGGAAATAGTATCCTCAGGTTGTTCCAGAACTTCTTCCACTTGTGGAACCTCAATATGGACTTCTTCGATGTTGTTGGTGTCTTCCTCCTGAAAGTCTGTCACCTCAACTTTCTGCACAAAGAGCTCCTGAGCACTCAGCTCAAGATTGTCCAAATATGAGTCATCATCTTCTTTATTTATGGAAGAAGAAAATATTGATCTCCATTTGTCATCTGTGTCACTGTCTGAGGAAGCGGCTTCAATCTCAACTCCCAGGCATTCGTCCATATCATCAGGGTCTTGGTCATGGCAGAACTCATTGGAAACATCTGACATTGCATCTTCTCTAATACATTGCTCTAATATCGACTCCTCTGTAATGGGTGGTTCAAACAGGATTTCACAGGCCTCTGGGTCTTCCTCTGCATCGACTGCCACATTTGGATAACCATCATCTTCGAGATAAAGCTTATTATCCTCATCCTCAGGTTCCGGTTCAGGGTATAACTCTAGGTCAGGATATGGCTCCGGCTCAGGGTACTCGTCTAGTTCAGGGTCTTGATCAGGCTCAGGGTACTGCCCCAGGTCTAGGTCTTCATCAGGGTAATAATCCGGTACAGTGTCTTCTTCTGGTTCGGGGTATTGCTCTGGCTCAGGGAATTGTTCTGGCTCAGGGAATTGCTCTGGCTCGGGGAATTGCGCTTGTTCAACATCTAGCTCTGGTTCAACGTCTTGAACTTGACGTTGAACTTGTTCTGGTTCAAGGTCTTGTTCTGGCTCGGGATACTGCTCTGGCTCAGGGACTTGTTCTTGCTCAGGATCTTGTTCTGGCATGTCCTGCTTCTTACAATGTACCTCGTTCTCATAAACACTGTCAGCACTGGAGAGTGTGTCAGACACAGAGGAGTTGATTGACTCATTCCTGTTGAGCTCTTCATGCCCTGATTCCAGTATCAAAGCTTCATTTGGAGCCTCACAAGGCGTTTCAGGGCAGTCAGTGTTGTCAATCTCAATTGTGCCAGTTGGCAGGTCAGTTAATAATTTGTCAAGCATCGCCGTTTCCCCTGGGAAATCTGATGTGTCTGTCTCTAAGCAAACAGGCTCATCATCTGCAGTGCAATCTTCCCTGTGCTCAGGTGAATCAGCCACTGCGACCTCCACCTCACAGTCCATCGCCGGCTCCGATTGTTCAGTGGTTTCCATGGTGACGGCTGTGCTGCAACCTTCGTTCAGTTCTTTTCCATTTGCCTCGAAATCCATCGAGGTAGCTCTCTGAAAAAAAAGAGAGAACAAGAAAAGTAGACTTATTTTCTGGGAGGCTGAAAGGGAGTTGTTAGTTTGTTCCTTTGCCAAATGCGGAGATACATTCAATGGCAGCATATTCACAGTACCCCTCCTTCACACTGAAATGATTTGCAGTCTTCGTAACCTTGTCTTCCTCCTTATGTTTCAAAGTCCCGTCTTTAAATATGCTTGTGTGAAATCACCCCAAATAACCAGCAAGACATTAAAATGTAACGAAATAGAAGCTGATGATTTTAAATCAGCCACTCAGCTGAACCAGGACTATTATTTTGACATTAAATCAATATTGCACACTGTGTAACAAAGCACTTACCATCAATAGTGTTATTATGTTGTTAAACAAAGCAGGAGAATCGCTGTGATGCATACAAATAGGAATGTGCAGACTAAAGATTGCGTTTCTTTGTGAACAAATGAAGAGTTTTGTCACTGCAAAACTCACAATGGAAAAGATCTTCATTATCATCATCAACAGCAAAGACAAGAACACAGGACCGGCTCAATGACACTACAGGATGTCTTTGTGAGTGTGAATGTAATCACACCAATGTGACTTTGGCAAATCTTCCTTAACAGTTCTTGAAGTGCAATAAACACATTTGTACATGTCCACGGACGGCACTTAAGAGCTCTGTGTCTGCGCCATTTGGAGAAACAGGAAAGGGGGGAGGTGGGTTTGTGAATGTTTTCCTAAGTGGGTTATGTTCAGTAAGAGATGAAGCACATCAAAAGCAGCTGAATTAGATGGCATTATAGCTGTTCTTATGTAAGACTGCCGGGAAGGATCTGCCTCCCACACACTGCCAGAGTGTCCCTGCAAGATGATTGTCTGAGCCCCCCAATCCCTGTGTTCACACTCGCACACATGTTCTCACAGACATTTAAATGGCTATTACTTGTCAGTGTGAGAACAATCAGTGGCTACAATCAGTGCTTGAATACCAAATCACAAGATTCAATCCCTGATTGCCTCTTGCTCTTCACAGATCACTATGGGTAACAAAATAATACACAGAATTAATCAAAATCTAAATTCACTAAGCATTTCATTTGTACACAGTTTTACTTTTACTCCGCAGCATACGACTTTGTGAACAGAGCACATCTCACAGAACAATGATTAGTTAGAAAATTGGGGATATGCAGGTGCTAAAACCAAATCTGACAATGTGTTTTGATTCATAGTGAAGTGTGCATGCATGTTGGGTCCAAACTTCAATATAGCACAATTCCAGTTCCACTGAATTAACAGCAAACACACAGTTGTTACAGAGTGATACCTCTCGCTATAGCCACCATATGTGTGTGTTAAGGGTAAATAGACTCATCTATTTGTCCACAATGAACATTCAAAGAGATATTAGAATGTAAAAGGTTAAGGGATAGTTAGCTTGTTATTTCTGATATATCATCTATCTCTATGAAAGGTTCAGGTTGAATCTGCCCCACCCTGAATCCGAGGTGATGTGCTCCTGCTGCCAAACATCGAGGCAAACGCTCACCAGGGCCTGAGGGCTGTTTTCACTTGAAAGCTGAAAGTATTTAACAGGATACCCACGGCTACAAACATCAAACACTGCCAGCGCCAAAAATCTAATCCTTTCTCCTCTTCCTCTCTACAGAGCATTCATAGCAGGCACATTCCTTTCATCACTCCTGCATGATTCATTTCAAAATATATTCAGGCACAGATTTTGGTTGATAAATGAAGATGATAATTTGTTCATGGCTATGTTGTACCACAGTATGCCGTGTTCCATCAAGAGGCCACTACATCTCTTTTATTCATCCACATCAGTCACAATGCCTTGGTTGTCTTTGGAAGTTTTCAATTACACAAACAAATACGCCTACAAGGACACATGCATGCGACAGACTGAGTGCCATGGTAACCATCAACACTGCTCAGCCGCCTCCGCATCAGCAGACTGTTCAATGTGACGGGGAGCAGTGCTGTATTCATGTTGTGTGGGTTGAGTGGTAAATTAAAACGTCCTCATTAAAAAAAACACCTTGTCGTGTTGGTCAAATTACTTTTACATTTTTAAAACTGCAGCCCACAGCCTTCAGTTTTTTAGCAAGCTGATATGACAGTGTGAAAAAGAGAGGGAGACATCTAACCTAAGAAGGAGGCATTCACTTTTTTCTGACTCTACAGTAGGTGGAGAGAAACTGCAAGCTTTTTAATCGGAGCAAAAATATGTGATGTCAGCAGCTCTTCAAAATATAATGGCATGATATAATTATGGGTTGTTAAATATGAACATATGAAATGTCACGTAGGCCAGCAAACCTAGCACATGATGCAAGATAGGAGTAACACTTGACCTGTTTGTTAAGGCTGAGCAACGTCTTTTTACTCAAACTGCACATCATATTTGACAGAGATCATTTAAAATGACAATTCTATTTCTGAAAAGGCATAATCGTTTTTTGTGAGCTTAGAGAAACCTCTGCAGAGCCTGTTCGCAATACTTATTTTCTACCATGCCTCCAGGACCTGATACCCAAATGTCCTCATTAAATCATAAATGAACAAACTTAAGTCGCTCAAGTACATTTTTCCAAATCCCTACAGCTCCTGAATGTCTGAGTTCTCTAGTCACAGTGCTGCATAAAACCAACAAACATCATATATAAACATGGTTCATTGCATTATTAAGTCATGGCCTATTTTCTTTTATTTCATCTTGATATTCCATCATTTGAACGGATGCTGTGATTGTGAAACGATGTCCATGTTGTCGTGAATTCACTAGATGAATTCACGACAACATCCGTGGGATTTCTGCTTTACAAAGACAGACTGCATGGACCTGCAAATAGACCTTGTGACCATTTATACTTTAAAAACATCTTGTTTCTAATGCATCCAAACATTCTTCCATTTTAAGGATTTGTTTAACTATATCTACATTTCTCTTTAAGCTATCAAATCGAAAAGAAATATCAAAACCAGCATTGAATGCATCCCCATGGTGTGAATCAAAAGCCTTATGTATTGTTCCTCCATTATTCAACAAAATCAATGTCACTGCTTGACATGTTCTTTCATTACTGTGAACAAACACTGTTTATTTGTACTCAATCCCATATACACCTTTCTGCTGCCACACATACTCAATAGTACACATACTGTGTATTAATCCACCCCAGTAAACAGTCAACAACAAACACATGACATCCTCCTGTGCAAGCAGCAATCAAATCCAGAGTGTCCAGCTGTTCGAGTGAATTACTGAGCCTTTTTTCACTTATGCAGCTACAACTTAAGTAGGAACCAATGAGCTTTGGGCGGAAAATCAGACAGGAAGCCAAAACATATTGAGACACAGATCGACAGATTGTTGGTTTGGGGTCTTTTTGTTGACAAAGAACAACATGCAATTTGAAAAACATCTTAAAATACTAGGTGTGGCTTAAATTGTGCATTTTTAAAGCTCCTTAAGGACCAACAACAAGCATCCTGGAACAGCTGAACACTAGCAATAGAGAAATAATAATATGGCTGTAGATAAATGTCCCTTTCATTTATTAGCTTAAAACAACACTGATCTATCTATTGGCATATTATAAAACTAAGCAATGCCTACCGTCAACATGTAGATCATCCACACAGAAATCATATTCAGGGCACAGCTCGTCAGTCACACGGATAGAAACGAGCCATACAACAGGCACATGCAAATGCTCAGGCTTTGTTGGAGTGTTAACGAAGTAAAAGCAAACTTTACATAAAACACACACACACACACACACACGTGGTGTAACTGTCATTCAGATTAGGCCGAGTGGAGATGAGGCTCCCTGAGGCTGTTTCCCATTGACCGACAAGCACACAATCCCAATAAAAAGTGCATTAGCCATCAATGACTTAATGCTAATACATCGGGAATAATGCTATTGTTTTGAAACCCTTGGACCCTTGACCCTTTCATTTCAACAAATCAAAAGTGAGTTAGGAGAAGAACATTAGATTAGAGAGGGAGCTGAACAATAATAACCACATCTGTATCAAATGTGCCAATGTCCTCCTTTACAGACTCACAGATTGAGTCGCAGGCTTCCTCAAAATCCATAAGGGCTTTGCATTCGACTCACAAACAGTTGTCCAATATGCTGTTCACAACTCTGCATGTACGTGCCAAAACTGCAGCAGCACTATTCTGGATAGAAGTTATGTGTTTGCTTGATCATTTGCCTCGTTGTTCTGCATATGTCCACTTTCTTCTTCTTTGATTTCATGACCACTTGCTTCTAAGCATTTTATATTGCAGAAGACATCAATTACAAGCTAAAAATAATGACGATACATCAACATATGTTTAATGAGACCTAAATCATAAATGTTTTACTATTAATGACCAATTTGTCCAGCAGTGTGTGCACAAATAGGTCATGGTAATAACAACGAGGTAAAATAAAACAATGTTGATTGTTTCTAGGAGATGCCAACAGCTGTCAGTCAAAGAATGAAATGTATTAATCCATTTGTGTTGCTATGATCAACTACACACCTTTTCCATCTTTGCTCTTGAACAACAGTCATAATAAAAGCTGCTAGACGTTTATTATAAGAAACATCTAACAGGTTGTTTTAATCGTTTTTTCTAGTCTTAATTTTCAAGTGGGTACACCAAATACAAAAGATCCAAATAACTGTTTGGGTGTCGCTGAATTCAAGGCAAGAAGCCTGTGAATCATCACTTGCTTTGAATGCCCAATCTCCTGGCTCAGTGAGGAGCCGTTGAGACATTAAGCCCTCCATAAAAAGGGCACGTTGAAGTTGAGAGGATGGACACGTGAAAGCATTTTCAGAAGGTTTCATTCCACAAACTCAAGGCTGACATCCTCATGAGAATAAGGGACCTTGGAATAAAGTAGATCTTATCTCAGTGGTATAGATCTTGCGCACAAAATGTGTCACTACGCCTGTAAAAGCTTATATCAGCCGTTTTCTCCTGGAT